TTGTGTGTGTGTGTGTGTGTGTGTGTGTGTGTGTGTGTGTGTGCGTGCGTGGGTGCGTGCGTGCGCTAGGGTACGTTTTGTGTGTGACAGATATTTATACATAATGAGAGAGAGAACGTTAAATTTCATGTGTGTTTCTTTTCAAACACATCACCATGACATCCGTACGTCTTTCAGTGGGTTTAAAATCCAGTACATTCAGCACGGGCGACAATAAATATGTTAATGAGGCTTTCATTTGGTTTTTATATGTCTTTCAAAAATAATTATTTTTGTGAGTGTCCGGGTTGTGTTTATTCTCCTTTATTACGGGCCACATTGACAACTGAGCCAGAAGATCCCACTGCTTGTTGTGTCACTGCAATAGCCTTTGTTGAGATAACAAAATTACGAATCCTCATTCTTGAAAGAAGTGTCAGTGTAAAAAAAGATTGATGTTATCATTCTGATCTGTGACCAATATTTTTATTCGTGTTTTGTATATGACACTAAAAGGACAGTTACAAGAAACGTATGAGACTAAGGCGGAAAAATATTCAGTTCGTTGTAGGTATTCAGAAACACTGTGTGAACATATCAAGGCTGTGTCAGTTCAATCTTTCCACAATTTCCGTGTAATATTGCACGCACGTATTTTGGTCTGCCTAACACATTTCATCTGAAGAATTCAGAAAATTGTCGTTGAAATCATACAGGGGTGATATTTTTCTGTTTGTTGACTCCTATTGGTTATTGTGAATCTCGGTATACTAAATTTATAACACAAATAAACATTTTCACGTCAGCTGTACTTTGTGTGTCTTAAAGACGTCTTTGGCGCATGACGTCACGACAACCCAATTTATGTGACTTCACAGAACGTAGAGATCCCGGAAGAGCGTAATGGATAAGATGAGATAAGATTAGATAAGATTAGATAAGATACATCTTTATTGTCCAGATCCTGGCACATTGGTTTATAGTAGGTTCCATGAGGGGGGGTGTCTCAAATTGACTTGTACCACCTTTCGGTTTGTCATTTGTTATTGTGTCATTACTGGCAATGTGCAAATGGGTAACGGGCGCTCTCTGAAGTGTGCCTCGCTCCAAAAAGACCTGAGGTCGGTTCCCAAAGATAATTTATGTAGTATCTCGATTTTTGAGTTGTTTCATGTACATTGGTACAGTGACATTAATGTTGTTGATTCACACATTTGGTGGTGATTCCCTGCCCCCCCCCCTCCTTTCTTTCCACCTGACCACCCCATCATCATGAAGTTCCAGATCTAGTGCAGACATCGGATCATGGGTTACCACTTATTTCTTCATTCAACTACTCTAAATATAACACGTATTGTCCTGGTCTTTCTCCATCACCTATACGCTCTTTATACAAGTTATACTCAAAGCGTTTACTCCGTCACCCATCTGTTCAGGTTCTGTAAGCCAGCTGTTCTAGGTATGCCTTTTATGCATTCTATTTTTCTATTGAGAGCAAGATGTTCAGGGTCTTTATGCTGATTTATGTGTCCCGAAAACTGAATTCCTCTCTTCCTCCTATTTCAGTTTTCATTGGGATGGACGTTCAATTCAGGAGGCTCGGCTTTCTATAGCACAACCTTAAACTGTTGTCTGTCCGAACCTACCCCCCCCTTTTAGTAGTGCTGGGCGGTTTGGTTCCCGATTGTTGAAAGCTAGGAATCGTAGGAATCGAC